TCGTCAGCCATCACCGCGGAGCAGGCCTTGTACACGGTCTCGACGTCCGTCCACGTATTGACGATTTTTCCTCTGCGGACTTCGGAAAGAGAGACGGGTGGTGCGGCGGTGATGCGCTCTGCCAGGTGGGAAAGTCGGCCAATGGCGGCGACCAATTTGGTCCGAGCGACAGAGGTGGCGGATTGAGCCATTGAGGTGCAGTGGCGGGAGCTGACGGGTCTACTGACGAAGGCGCCTTTCGAATCTGTTTGCGTCAGAGCTGGAACCTTGAGGGTCACGGGAGAAGGAAATAGAACCGATTTGATCCTTGCAGCAGGGCTACTACTTGCCGCTCTAGGAGTGAGGGGTGACTTGATTTTTTGTGTCGGCGTGGAGGGACAGAAGACTGCTCTGAGTAGAATTCGAACGGAAAAACGAGAGGAAACAAATATTTATTCGATAATATAACCCGCTTATGGAAGGCTGGCAGAAAAAAGGCCTCGAGCTTGCTGGAATACAATAGTCGGATCGACTCGGATTGTTATAGGCTGTTTACATTGGGGCTGCGTCATGCTTCTTTGCGTCTTGCCGGAGACGCAGTTTTTTTTACATAGGTTAAGCATAGGGCCCTAGTGGTGGCAAAAAGTTTCGTCGGTCTCTGATTCATGTGCGTCTATTCGATATATTCGATTGCTTTTGCGCTTAACTGCACATTTTTGCACTTTTCTGCCTATCAGCGCAACTATCACCTCTAAGAACAACAAAAACTTGTAGTTAAAAAATCAAATTTTGGCGCTAAAATGAATGGTTGTGCAAAAAGGTAAAAATATACATAAAATCATGAAATAAAATACTTGAAACTGATTGTATTATTATCATACGACATTTTTGTGATACCCTGATGCCATTATGACACTGCTGGAGACGAACTTCGGTGGTTTTCATAATTTGAAGAGGAACTCCCACAAACTCTACAATGAAATGTCTGAAAATAATATTTAAATATGAGAATCAATTCTTTTTCGTCTGATTGAGCGAAGAGGCTTTCGAAGTTCCACCGTTCAGAATCCCAAGTTAAAGAAGTTAGGCAGTTCCAATATCTTCTCGTATATATTTCGGGGTTGTTCTGGGCTTATATATATATGTATTTGTATCGCGTGCAAAACCGGCCGTTTGCTTGTGGGTGAAGAAGCGCATTGCCTAGATCGGTGGCACTCCAGCTGCCGAGGGCTGTCGGAGGCGAGAGCGGGAGCGTGAGCGTGGGCGGGAGCGCAAGCGTGGTGAATATGCGCGCGAGAGCGCGTCACCGGGGGGAAAAAAGCTCATAAGCGTGAGAGCGAGAGCGAGGGCAACAGCTTGCGTAGCTGGATTGCTAACATTGGTGTGGCTGGAATGCCCACAGAGCTGTTGCCCCGCCAGCGCCGTCCTCACTCTAAACATCGTCCATTTTCCTGACGTCTTGCTTAATTCTGTTGATTTTCAAAAATTTGTGTATCTTTCCTTGTCATCAAACACCCAAATCCAAATTCAAGACGCACGTCTTCCAATGTAAACGCCTTTTCTGCTTCATTGCGTCTATGCCGATATCGATAGCAGACGCGCCCAGTGTAAAAAGGCTATTAGAGATCACCTTCAGTGAAATTTTCTCAAACAGTGAGTGACTTATATTGTGCCGAGCTGAGGAGAGGAACGGTCACACTGATTTTGCCAATATTTTGCAAATATTGTTAGTATTGGCTCCTCCGTTTACCTCTTTGACGCAGTCGTGAGCAGAACTGGGTTATTTGCGGATGGAAGGCGGACGGAATGGCATTTATATTGCTCTATATGTCGGTTTGGATCGACAAAATACAGATAAACATAGTCGCCGTAAGCGTTACCGGAAGTTGCAGTCAAGAATATGACTGCGGAGTGGCCGCTGGAAAACTATCGGGAGAAATACCGAAGGGAAACAAAAAAAATCCAAAAAAGATGACGAAAAGGTTTAAATTATAAATCGTGGATTGTTTAATTTATTTCTTATAGTTTTTTTGTGTTTGTTTGGAAATTGTAAGACGAGGGTAAGTTTTTTTATTTATTTATTATATTTTGATGAACGCAAGGTTCGGTTACGTTACCGATAGTTTTTGGCAATATATATTTATGTAAGAACCCTTCCCACATTCTGAAGTAGAAATAAGATATCTGTAAGACATTCATGGGAAAATGGAAGGCCAGCCGATCTATAAAAGGCACTGCCTTGCATGAAGAAAAAGGCAGTCCATCAGCCATAGCAGTCAGGCAAATAACAAACACGCAAGTCAAACCACCATACGCGTCGTAGAACAAATAAAAATAACATAAAACATAACATAGCCCGGTAGCATAATAATACGAAAGAATAAAGATATCTTTTAAAAAAAGTCAATTAACTAAGAGTGTTGTGATTTCGCTAACCCATTTTCAGTTGCTGGCAAAGTTCCTGGTTTTCCAAATAAAGTCCTGCGAATTATAAATAACATGTAGCTTAGGACCCTGGACAGACTGAAGCATACCTCAGCCTGAGATAGGGCATTAAAATGTATGTATATAGTTGACAATATAGATATATTGCCGACAACTATGTAAATAAATTTATCAGGGGTGCCACAGAAATCACTAGTGAAATAAGAAATCGCGCAGAGGATTTCCGCTTCAAAATTTCCGCCGTGCCACAGAATTCCGAGCGATTTCATTTTTCTTAGCATGGTCACAAACCAAATTCGAACTAAGGCTAGGGTTGACACCTCTCAAGATTCAATTCGAATAGGGTTCATTACATGATGAATGGCACGGTGTGGCACGGCGGAATGGAATTGAGGTGATTTTCCAGCGGAAGTGATTTCTGTGGCACCCCTGTATATGTATATGGATGGAATCAAAGCAATTTATTTGGATTCTCTTTGCACTCGGAGTGTGCCAAGTGTAGGTTTATTGGGGTGGGTTGTGTATGACATGCACTTGTGTCGTAGGTATGGGTATGGGTGTATATATGTGGTATGAATTCTGTAGATCAGCTGCGGAGTTTCTCTTGTGAGCTGGAATGCACTTGCTGAATATTTTTACTTTTAATTATTTTCACAATTAATGCACAGACAAAAAACGGAATTAAAGAACTATCACTGGTATTTGGAGTTGAAGGAACGGAGAACGGCCGGAATCGCTGATAATATGGCGGTGTCGAAAAGAAAGAAGCGACACGAAAAACGGATGGCACAGAAGGAAGAAATAAGTACAAATATAAGAATATATATATGTACCTATATCGAGGAACTCGGACTTTGCGGAAATTGGAAACACAAATCGCGAATGAAAGGGCGACGGGGAAAATCCGGCTCGAAGGACCAATGTTTAAGCGAAGAGGCTTCTCAGGGGGGTTCCACCGATCAGTTCCCAAGAAAAGACAGGGCAAGTCCAAGTTCCTCAATGTGTTTATTCAATTTAGTAGGATCGCGTGCAAAAGGCCGTTTTGCATATAAGTGTAAAGGTCAGCTGCCAGCGGCTGTCGGCAGGGCAACAGCAAGTGTGATATCACATGAGTCTGGAAACGAAATTTGGTTGCTCTAGCTCTTATAGTCTCTGAGATCTAGGCGCTCATCAAGACGGACAGACAGACTTTTACCACAAATACAATATACCCCTTATTTCTTTTTGAGTACGGGTATAAAAAAGACATCTCAAACGAAGAATATAGTGCCATATATCAAGCCAAGCTTAAAGAGTGGATGTTAGATGGGTGGAACATTCTTTTCACTGATGCCTCCATCAATGGGGATAGGACAGGTATAGGTATCTTAAATTACCCTAGTAACAACAGCTATAAATTTAGAATTGAAAATAATTCCTCTTCTGTTTTAGCAGAATTTGTAGGAATGCTAACTGCAGTAAAGATATCAAGTAAAAAAAGATATAATAAAACTGTTATTCTCTGTGATAGTCAAGGGGCCCTAAAGGCTCTGAAAAGCAATGAATCAAATTCATACTTAACAGACGAAATCCACATCAGTATAGATAATTCCATCACTAGCAACTTTATTTTGCACTGGATACCCGGTCATAAGAACATTGCTATTAATGAAAGTACTGACTTACTAGCCAAATCAGCCACTAGTGTCAGTAGATTAGTTCAAATACCTCTCACCTTCGATGAAGTAATTAGATCAGTTAAGATTAGAGTCCGAATGGACTGGCATAATGAGTATAAGGAAATCTAAAAAATTACAGGGGCTTATTTTGAATCCATTTATAGCGAGATTCCAGTCAAACCGGGGCTCTTGACTGGAGTGCCAAAAATATAAAGGTCATGACCACGTCTTTTTAACAGGATCAAAGCCAGAATTACCAACATCTGAGAAGTTTGCAACGTTCTCGATGATGCGGAACATGAAATCTTCTCCTGCCAAAGACATGGCAGTATTAGGAAAGAGTACAAGATTTTCAAACGATTTAATAACCTCAAGGAGTTATTACTCACGAAAGAGACTCTTTTCTTTAGAGAATTGATGAGGCCAATTTGGAGTTTTGAATTAAAGCACATGGGATTAATTAAGGTCAGGCATCTCGGTGCTATCGGAAGTCATCTTGAGGAGCATCTTAGAATTCCTTCAATTTCAAAAAACAAAAAGAAACTTAAACATCAACACACACACATTACACTTCTACCCTCACATTGTATAAATGACATATTATTATTAATTTCCTTGTAAATTTCACGTACACGAATAAACTTTTAAACTACATATTAAATTGTATAACTAACTACACCGCTAACACCAACCCAATGTACTTTGTTAAAATCATTACACCTAACATTATTTTGTTTAATTAACATTATCGAGATCATCATCTTAATGCAACACCGTGCATGCCCTCATCAACAAAGCATTGAAATCATCGAAAAGCAACACCTTGCATGCCCTTCACAACAAAACATCGATATCAACATACCAAATGAAGTATCTGGTCATAGCAGATTCATCGTCGTGCGACCACTCAATTCGCTTTAGCGATTAAATACCAAAAAAAAAAAAAATTAAAAACTTGTTTGATAAGTATGTAAGCGCTTTGGCTTACTGACAGGTAAAGAAATCTGTTGTTTTTTTTAATTTAACATTTGATGGAAAGTACCTCAACACCGTTAGATATATTGGTAAAAGGTAAAATAAAAGAAAAAATCAACAAACACATTAATCTGAGCTAGTAGAGTAATGCTACATGTATTAATGTATTGAAATGCTTTTACACACTTGAGCAAATATGCACTTGCACGTACATAAAGCATAAGTGGAACAGGTAGAGGGCCTACCATGCACTTACACATACATACAGCATACGTGGAACAGGTAGAAGGCAACAAGTGGTTTTCTACGCTGTGATATGTACGAGCTCCTCTATCGACGACGAAAATGTGTTAATTAAAAAAATATTACATATGTACGTACATGTAGTTCATAGAAAGTGAGTGAAAACTAGCAACTGCATGATCCTGATGATAAATATATGTATTTTCTCGAATTGGTTGCGTTTTTTTTATTGCTGTTGTTGATGGGAAACTGTTTGTGAAACACGAAGTGAAAACTCAAATTAAAGAATAGAAAAAACACAGTGAAGTACTAGCAAGCATACAAATTATAACTTAAAACTGCTTCAGACACGACGGCTATCTGCGTCCACTGAAATATGTACATATTTAATTAATTCTATCCGAAATTATTATACCGATACTCGAGGAGTTTAAGGATATATGTATTAGTTTTGTGTTAATGTGTGTTAATTTCTGTATTTTTCTATCTATCTGTCCGTCCACCCAATCAGAAAGTTACCATATCTTCCAGATAGACGAATCTGGATTATATCAGATGATTATTATAGTTAGAAAGAAGAAATCGATTTGCAGTGACTACGCTACCACCTCCCATGCCCTATCACATTCTTTTTCTCTCTCTCTCACACACTCTTCCTCGTACAGTGTGTGCCCTCTGGCGGAGTGAGGAGAACTACATATAACGGCTGGTATTGGTGTGAGAAGTTAGAGAGACGACAGATATAGCGGAATACAAAACAGTAGTGAAAATATGAACACATAAAATATTCGGCAATTTTATTTTTCAAAAAGGTCATTAGCTTGAGAGGGTATAAACGAAGTGAAAAAATTAAAATTGGAACATAACTAGCGGTCTTGGGTTCAATCCCGTTTTTCCCCTCTCTCATGACATGTGCGATCAAAATTGAGAGATATCGCGAGGAGATAGCCCCCGGACTGAACGAAGCAGGTGTCATCTGTGCTGGATCCGAAACGTTGTTTTTTTTTATATCACTCTCCATTTGATTTTTTGGTAGAGAGAACGAGAAAGCAACGAATGGTCGTATGTTTTCTTGCTTTAAACTGAAAAAAATGTATTTAATTAATTTAATTGCAGATATAGCAGGAGAATGTCTTTCGCCAAATAGAAGAAAACTAGTAAGTTTATAGTAATGAACATTTTTTTTAGTAAAAAAAACCCAATATGCATATGTGAACACATAGCTGTATAATCCGTCAGATATTTTTTGAGTCATTTTAGAAACATGTGAATGAAACTGGCTGATTTTAATTCGCAGTACTTTCACTTGGTTTTTATACCCGTACTCAAAAAAGAGTTAAGGGGTATATTAGATTTGTGGTAAAAGTGGATGTGTGCAACGCCGAGCATGAAACGGTTCCGACCCCATAAAGTATATATATTCTTGATCAGCATCAATAGCTGAGTCGTTTCTTCTCGTTTGTGATTCGGGTGATCCGAATATGGCAGAGGGAGGGACTGATAATGATCGAAAGCATTAAGGAGGCATGAGTATAAATAAATATATAGATATAAAGCTTTAGCTTACGGCCTGGAAATAAAAAGGTTTCAAATGCAAAAATTATGATTATGATTTTTTTGCGGTATTTTTATCAAAATTTGGACTTTGAAAAGTTAGGAAAAGTCACATTTTACCATTTGGAACGTTGCTGGTCCAACGTTTTGGATCCTTCTATATTTTTCACCCAGAATCTGAAGCTCATATATCGACAGAAAACACAACGTTGACAAGAAAATTGTACCACCTTTCACATGATTTTTTATTCGTGGTGATAGGGTATGGTTATATTTTCAGACATGCACTTTTTAGCGGCATCTATTCTTAACAAAATAAGCCAGTTATAAATAAAACTGTTCAAAAAATGCCAACAGTACGATGTTTTTAGTTTAGTTTTTAGTTGTTTTTACTTTTTAATATACTCCATCTTATATATCATAAAGCAATGTTTGTTTACTTGGTATGTAATTCCAATTTGTCTACATGTAAAATTCAAAAATGTCATAACAATCATTGCTTTTTGGGCCAGCAACGGTAAAACGGTAAAATGTGATTTTCGGAGGATTGGTCAACCAATTTTACCAACCGTCTCTCCATAGAGCAATACCTTAAACGACTCAAAATTAATGCACCTATACACAAAAATTAAAGGACCCCGGATATTTTTTTTTTCGACTTTAAAAAAAAAATACCGCACAAAAACCATAATATTTGCATTTCAAAGCTTAAGCCTAGCACTCAGATCGAAAAAAACACCTCGCGAACAGAATCAGGGTTGATATTCTTATGAAACCGATAAGAAATTTTGTAAGCAAAAACTGTTTTCTTACTGTTTTTGTAAGCAAAAACTCTTTTCTACGGAAGGCAGTACTCAGATCAACAAAAAAAAAAGGACGGTATATACTGGAAAAGTATCCGAAGTATTTGCTTGTTTTTTTTGGTATGTTTAGACCCTCCTCGAAAATTATATCAATTTGATATATTTTGCCAGCAAACACCAAGCAGACATTGCAATAAGAGAACAAAAAACCAAATGAAATATTATAATAATGAAGACAAATAGAATCTAATTAATGCAGTATTATATGAATGACAATTATATGGACATTATAATTTATTATTTTCACAAATATAAAACATATATATATTTTTCAAAACATTTTGTCTTCACGGTGTTCGGCACAGGAGGCGTCGCCATCTGCTGCTGCTGATAGGCAGACACATAACCTTGCCAATAAAATGTTGGGGAGCCCAGGATATGCCTGGGGAAGAGCGGCCCCAGTCGAAGAAGTGCATTTTATTAACTTTAAACAAAACCAAGCAGCGGTCTGAGCAGTGTAACCGTTCAGAATGCAGTGCACACCTCTGGTCACACCACTGGCCGCTTGAAGTATATATGCTGGGTTTTTGATTTTGTTTGCTGGCAAACAGTTTTTGGATCTGAGTACACTAGGCTTTAATATTTTCCAAATGATAAGTTGAAATCACATAGTGCTCGGATCATGTTTATAGATGCATTTCTTAGTTTTTTAGAATGTCAAAATTCATCGAAACTAAATGTATGTTACTTAAGTTATGTGAAAAATAAGCGCTACTTTGAAAAAAACTTACAAAAAATACAAATTTTCGAAAATTCTTCAAAAAAATTAAAAGCTCTCAATCTATCAGAAAAAGTTGGTTTGGCTCGAAACAGAAAAAAGTTCAATTTTATCGAGTTGTGTCATCAAATGCTTATTTATAATCTTGGTTGCTAATGTATATCTTGTGTTCGTGTTTGAACAGCAGTTAAGGTAACATAACCGTCGCAAATACGGGATAAAAGAACCTGGGTCTTAAAACGCGCAATCTCTGAGTTCTCAAAATGGATACAACCAGCAATGGAACCCGCAAATCCTTTGAAGAAAATGACACGGCAGCAGCTTACCAAGGGAATGGCGGTAATAGGCAGTTGCGGGGCTTATCGTTTTCCTTTGTTCGGGTAAGTAAAAAATATCCCTCATACTTTTTAAAAGTAGTACCTTTTGTTACCGTCTTTCTCACTATTGGAAAATTACTATCCAAAAACTTTTTTCGGTGGTGGAAGAGCAGAGCACATCTTAACACTACGTTTACAGTGCAGGAAAGTTAATTTCTGCATCCAGTACCCGGGCTGCAGATAGCCCAAAAACCCTGGACGCACTTTCGATATTAACTTTTTACCCTCCTAATCGAAGGAGAAATAACATATTAATATCGTATTTATTATTGTTTATTTTGCTTTTTTATACCCGTACTCAAAAAAGAGTTAAGGGGTATATTAGATTTGTGGTAAAAGTGGATGTGTGTAACGCAGAGAAGGAAACGTTTCCGACCCCATAAAGTATATATATTCTTGATCAGCATCAATAGCCGAGTCGATAGAGCCATGTCTGTCTGTCCGTCTGTCCGTCTGACCGTCTGTCCGTCTGTCCGTCTTGTTTGACGCCTGGATCTCAGAGACTATAAAAGCTAGGGCAACCAAATTTGTTTACCAGACTCATGTGATATCACACTGCTACAAGTGTATTTCAAAATTTCGCCCCGCCCCCTTCCGCCCCCACAAAGGACGAAAATCTGTGGCAGCCACAATTTTAAAGATACGATAAAACTGAAAGCGCAGTATCGTAGAAAATAACCATATCTACCAGATTGCCGAATCTGAATCAGATCGGATCATAATTATAGCCAGAATGAAGAAATGAATTCTCTGTTGGTTCCCTCTCCTTCTCCAGCGCTGCTGACGCTACTGATTCTCTTTCTCGCTCGCACACTCTGCCGCGTTCAGTGCGCGAGCAACCCCTAGCGGAGGAGATGTAGAATCTAAATGGAACACGTACAATCTACATGTTAGATGTAGAATAGACATTGTATATGTAGATGTAGATAGCAGATGTAGCAAAAAAATGTAAAATGTAAAATTTTTTTTTTTTCCAAAATTCTACAAAATCATAAGCTGTATATACTGACTGAGTACGGGTATAAGTAGAGTCGTGTCCCCAGAAACGACTCACACGTTCCTTCTCGTTTTATATAATAAAATTAAGAAAATGGAAAACTTAAATGGGTAATCAAAAATACAGGGTTAAATTATATTGGTGTAACAGGCAGAAGGAATCGTTTTCGAATCCATAAAGTATTATTGATCACAGTAAATTGTCGATTAGATATATTCCGTTTGTTAGTTTTGTCGCAAATTGATGACTTCACCGCCTATGAAGTATATTTGTAAAAATGTATGTGCTTCGTTTGGAATTGGCAGTTTGGAGCCCACTTTGTGGTACACTTGTCCTTCTGATTGAATTGTTGAACTTTTTAACTATTCCTGATGCGCAACACGTACCATCTGACTCATGTTTGTTCAAATCAAATTACTAACATAGGTACATTCAATGTAACGAATGAGCAATGGGTCAGTCGAAGCACAGAGTCAGTTCGAACAGAAGAAGCTAATTTTGCTGATAAAGAGTTCACTTAATAAAAGGGATGTACGTAAATACATACAATGTACTCATTTATTTAATCTGTGGAAAAAAAATCGTAACAAATTTAGGAATCGCTATGCAACTGATCCATAACATTTACAATAACTTCCTAATTGCCATTTGTCTTCGAATTTTGGTACTTAATACGATAGGTACCTTCCGGATCGTAAATTTTCTCAAGACGCTCCCAGTCGCTAGGTCGATTATCAATAAGATGGCGGGTAACCTTCTCGGCGCCAATTTTTTGCTTTTCTGTACATCTGGTGCAATCAGTCAAGATTGCATCGGGTAAAATATCTTGAAGTGTGATAGAAAGTGGTATAAAAAATAACTGAAAAATATTTGGGGAATAAATAAATAATATTTACCCTTCAGCATTTTCGCATCGGGTGTACAGGGGCCGGCACTCTCTAAGCACTTTATGTAGTTGTTAAGTAATCGCTCTTGGATCAGTATCTCGTCCAAATCTACATTATCGAACTTTTCATCGTAGACGCCATCTAACAGCGGGGCTGAAGTTGTCAGCGGTGGATGCGGAAATCCATTTATTTGGGTGCAACTAGCGCACATTAGAGTCAACACCACAGCAGTGCGAAACATTGTCAAGGAAATACCGGTACGCGAAATTTTAAAATAAAGAAATGTCTCAGATTATACTATCAGTCGCAATAGTCGCAGCTTTTATAGTTTGCCTACCAGTCCCGTATAGTTAGCGTGTCTATGTCTAATTTTATAACATTCCAATTGATCGCAAATGAAATTAATTGAATTTTGAACTATTATTTTAATGTAGCAGTCGCACGACATTTTATAAGTGCATGCATGCTGTGTGAAAAGTTCCTAAGAACATCAACCAGAATCTTTGATTCCCTAGTTTTTAATGTCAGAAAACATATTTAATTTGTTAGTTTTTATGATATTATGATAATATCCAATGTTTTTTAAGACATATGTGCTTTTGTAAATATATTGAAAGGTTACTAATTTACCAAATTGACATTTAAAGTTTCAATAACTTTTATGCGAAAACCTATTAAAATAAGCAAAAGCTCACGTTTTCGGTATTATTTTGTATTTTTATAGTCATTTTCTTTTAATATTATCTTCTAGAAAAAAGATAATTCTTGATTTAAAGTCTCTCTGACATATTGAACTATATCTTTTAAGCCGTACGCTCGACTATAACCATTCTCTTGGTTATTAAAGGGCTACCCAATTATCCAATATCCAACAATATCTTTCTTCCCAATTTTGTCATTTTCATTATTTTTTCAAAATTTTGTCGATCGAATTTAAGGCCAGAACGAAACTGCCCATATATATGAGACTTCAAATGGTTAATATAATATTATGATAACACTACTCGACAAAATCGAACTTTTTTTTTTTCCTCAAGGATCCAAACCGACTTTTTCTGATAGATATGGGCATTTAAAATTTTTTAAAGAATTATGGTTTTTTTTCTATGGCAGAACTTTTTTTTGAAGAATTTTTGAAGTGTGGTATTTTTTTTTAAGCTTTTTTCAGAGGTAGCGCTTTTTTTCACATAACTGTAGTATCTTACCTCTGGTTGTAAAGAACTTTGCTATTTTGAAAAGATAATTAAAACAGCTAGAAGTTAAGCCCAAACACTTTGTGATTTCAGCTTAGCGTCTGGAAAATATAAAGCATTAAAATGCAAAAGTGATGATTTTTGTGCGGTATTTTTTACGAAATTTTGACTTTAAAAACTCAGGAAAAGTCGAAAAAAAAATATATCCTGTGTCCTCTATTTTTTTGCGCGATCAGGTACCAAATGTACAACCCTTGTTCGTTTGCTTTGTTCCCAATTGGCAGTTGAGCTCGCAACCTTCCAAAAGGTATTTTTTGTTCATTTTTTCCATTTTTTAGGTTTGTTTAACGAATTTTAGCTCCAAAGTCTCTCCATAGATTTTAATGAGCGATACCTTAAACGACGCCAAATTAATGCACCTCTACACAAAAAAATAGAGAACACACGTTATAATTTTTTTCGACTTTTCCTGAGTTTTTAAAGTCAAGATTTCGTAAAAAATACCGCACAAAAATCATCATTTTTGCATTTCAATGCTTTATATTTCCGGTAAGCTGAAATCACAAAGTATTTGGGCTTAACTTCTAGCTGTTTTAATTAACTTTTCAAAATAGCAAAGTTCTTTACAACCAGACGTAAGATACTAAAGTTATGTGAAAAAAACTATCGCTACCTCTGAAAAAAGCTTAAAAAAAAAATACCAGTTTTCAAAAATTTTTCAAAAAAAAGTTCTGCCATAGAAAAAAAAAATATCATCAAACCATTTCTAAGCCCCAAATCTTTAATAAAAAGTTGGTTTTGTTCCTTGAGGAAAAATCGTGTTGACCAGTGATATTAGTCTAACACCTATATTTCCTGCATGCTCGCGATCGGCTCGGTAACACGCATCGCGCGTCATGCGGCAGTGCCCCTCGGGCGTTTGGGTTCTGCCTGGGTTCCGCGCGTAATAGGACTTGGCATGGTGTCGCATGTGCCACTTGATGGTGCAGTCATTGCATATCACAATATCGCAATTATGATGAAAGTCAGAACTACAGTGAGTCAGGGATACTATAGGTATAGATTTATATGTCCTTTTCTATGAATAGCTAGAAGGGAAAAAGGTATAATTTGTGCGGGACCAGCACTTGTGAAGGAAAAAAGGTTAACATTTGACCATAACATCGATCTATACCAAGGCTTAGGTATAAAGAATAAAAGTAACTCTCTACAACAATTACAGCCTAAATGGATATGACAGGTAGGGTATATATCCGAGATATATCCATACCTATGACTCGGTAAGACCAAAATTACAGGTCCGTTTTGTTTCCTGCAATCCCATTTTGGGCAGTTGGACCAGCAACGTACCGGACGGTATTTTTTCGGGTAAAATGATTTTTGAGTCGTTTTGGTCAAACGTTGAAACTTGGCCGTTTATCCATCGATTCTTACAAACGATACCTTAAACGACTCATAATTATTACGTCTATTTTAAACAATCTATCTATCTAAAAATCAAACGAGAAGGAACGTGTGAGTCGCTTGTGGGGACGCGACTCTCCTTATACCCTTACTCAGTCAGTATATACATTTTTAGGCTTATTTTTTAGAATTTTAGAATAAAAAAAAAATTGTACAATCTACATTTCTTTTCTACATCTGTTATCTACATCTACAATGTATATTATACATCTAATATGTATATTATACATGTACCATTTAGATTCTACATCTTCTCCGCTAGCGGGTACTCGCGCACTAGCGGGTCTCTTGCTGGAGGAGGTGGGGGAAGCAACTGAAAATTAATTTCTTCATTCTGACCATAATTATGATCTGATTCAGATGAGTCTGGAAATTAAATTTGGTTGCTCTAGCTCTTAAAATCGGACGGTCAGACAGACAGACATGGCTATATCGACTTGGCTATTGCTGATCATGAATATATATACTTTATGGGGTCGGAAACCTTTCCTTACCACAAATACAATATACCCCCCAACTCTTTTTGAGTACGGGTATAAAAATATATCCTTGGTCCTTTATTTTTTGTGTATAGGTGCATTAATTCGGAGTCGTTTAAGGTATTGATCTATGGAGAGACGGCGAATCTATTGGTTGACCAACCCTCCGAAAATCATATTTTATCGTTTTACCGTTGCTGGCCCAACAAGCAATGCTTGTTTTGACATTTTTGAATTTTACATGTAGACAAATTGGAATTACATACCAAGTAAACAAACATTGCTTTGTGATATATGTATAGATGGAGTAAATTTACTAAAAACATCGTACTGTTGGCATTATTTGAACAGTTTTATTTATAACTGGCTTATTTTGTTAAGAATAGATGCCGCTAAAAAGTTCAGGTCTGAAAACAAAACCATACCCTGCGGACATTTTTTAAGAGTCAAAATTTGCAGAAACTGAAGAAATGCTGTCTGGTTTCCCAGCCGGAAAATCCCCAACAAATACCTCAAATAATAGCCAGTGGCGCAACTAACGTAATTTCACCTTTGTTTGCTATTTGAATTGCCCACTGCATATAAACATTGTAACCGCTTATAATTACTCAATCTATTCGCCTATGCAACCGTTCTTTCGTCTCTTCGACTCTTGCCTTTCTCCTTTACTTTACTATCTCGCTATATCGCTCTTTCGTTCTATCGAACTCTATTCTTAGCATCGCGTAGGGCACGGGTCCGTCTGCCCTAACATGCCTTCGCAAAGGCCATGATCTGGTCCAGCACTTGCATGCCTTTGCAATCTCTCGATCTTTTCTGTCGTCGCATATATACATACGCATATATTCGGTCAATTGGTGACACACGAATTGTGGTCTATATATGCATCTCGCTTCCAAGTTTCTTTCGCCATCGTTCTCATCATCTATGCTGCTCTCTCGCTTGCATTAGGGCACGGGCAATTCGGCCCGCCTGCCCTTTCTCAGTCTGGTATTGATCTTCATAACGTATCCATCGCTTTATTATATCGGTCACTTTATCGTCTACCTTACATTACCAATATATAATAAATTGTACATTACCCATTGAAACGCTAGACTTTTCTTAACAATTAAACGAGTTTCAACGGCTATTAAAAACGCTTAATAGCCAAACATTTGGTGACCCCGACGTGATTGTGCATTAGTTAATATATTCGTGCAATCACAAACTACAGTTGATCATTCAAGCATTGCCATATATTGCCGGTTGTTCGTTGTTGTCGTTTGCCCGCGGCTTCAAGTGTCATCGACCACATATATATACACCAGCCGCTCTTGCATATAAGCATATACGTTTTGTTTGCGGTGCTCTTTCCCGTCACTTGCGCGCGGTACTCTTTGTTTTTCATCTTCCCGCTAGAAACGTTTTTCTAACGCCGTAGCTGCTATGGAGTTGGATGGGTCAAACGGCAGTGTAACTACCGCTGCGGAAAACAGGGTGATTTTTCTGAAGCGGAAGGCATCGGAATTGTGCGAAGGCCTCAAAAGATTGAGTGCCACTTGGGAGAATGAATTGTCGGCTTGCGACTACTATATGCTCGTGGTAAGGTTGGATGAGATCGAGGAGCTGCAGGACACTTTTAAAACCCTGCACAACGAGCTTCAGAAGTTGGACTACAACAAGACTCGCATTGGATCCTTGAACAACTTTAATTATCTGTTCAATGAGCTGGATACTTTGATTCGGCGCGAAATCGCTAATCGATTCCCCCACCTGTCTTCTCCTTCAACGGTTTCTGGAGGAACAATAATTGCTAATATTGTTGGCAGGCAGCTTCCACCACGGAGCAATCCGCCCCCGTGTCTACGCGCTATGCAATTGTCATCTTCGGATAAGAAGAAGTCTGCCTTATGCGTCTCTGAGGGGCCAATGCAGCATTTGAAGATAGATGAGCAGGCAGCGCTGTCTGCTGATACTGAAATCAATCTCCAAGACGTCCACATAGCTGAGTTGGTATCTCATTCGCAGCTGGATTCCAATATGATTTCGGAGAACCCAAGTGCACTTCCATCAATAGATTTAGCGTTGGAAATAGCTACTGATCGGTCTTCTCTCTCAATTTCGGGCTATTCATCATTATCGTGCCCCTGCAGAAGTTCAGTTGTGCCAACAGAAGCCCAGCTCTTTGACGGTTTCGGACTAGCTGCACCTGCAGCTACGTGGTCCAGACTCTTTCTCCAACGGCTGGGCAAAGATACGTTGTCTTGGCATAAAGCTCTGATTGGGATCTCTTCGCGTGGGATTCTTTTGAATGATTTGAGAGATCCCCCTCTTTTGGCATGTGGGTTTCAATATCGTTCATCCGTGTATTTTGCTGGCCATCATCAAATCACCTTTGGCAGGAAGCATCCAGTTCAGCGCACCACTAATTCAACAATGATCATCGCTCCTCAGCAGAATCTTCGCACTGGACTTCGAGCTTATTCCATCCCAATATTTGTATATTGGGGGGAGTGGAGCTGCACTGAAGACGTACAACTACAACAATCATCGTGCCACTGACCACTCAGATTGTAGATTGGATCATCTGAGGAAGTTTTTTGGCCACATCTTGGCCATTTTTAATCCTACAACTTTAGCTTCAATTACAGAGAGCCCTGCCGATCTGGATGTGCCAGTTCGTGACCCTCCCTTTTCGTTTCTTGAGCCTACCGTAACATGCCTGATCTTGCGACAATTGGATGTCAGGCAATGCGTTGCCTACATACTCCATATCTTCTGTACGCGATGGAAGGAAGACTACATCTCGTCGCTGCAGCTGCGTTCAAAGCGTATGCAGAACCCTGTGCTATCAGACCCACAACAACTGACCAATAACGACATTGGTCAAATTCATTCCTGGATTCATTGGCGTGTCTCGAGATGTTGTGCCAAAGATGGAATTAGGATTGCTACATCAAATCAGCCACAAGCGACGACTGTGAAACCCTTCAGCATCTGTTGAAAGTCAGGCTTTCAACGGGGAGAGTATGTCTGGTTTCCCAGCCGGAAAATCCCCAACAAATACCTCAAATAATAGCCAGTGGCGCAACTAACGTAATTTCACCTTTGTTTGCTATTTGAATTGCCCACTGCATATAAACATTGTAGCCGCTTATAATTACTCAATCTATTCGCCTATGCAATCATTCTTTCGTCTCTTCGACTCTTGCCTTTCTCCTTTACTTTACTATCTCGCTATATCGCTCTTTCGTTCTATCGATCTCTATTCTTAGCATCGCGTAGGGCACGGGTAATTTGGTCCGTCTGCCCTAACATGCCTTCGCAAAGGCCATGATATGGTTCAGCACTTGCATGCCTTTGCAATCTCTCGATCTTTTCTGTCGTCGCATATATACATACGCATATATTCGGTCAATTGGTGACACACGAATTGTGGTCTATATATGCATCTCGCTTCCAAGTTTCTTTCGCCATCGTTCTCATCATCTATGCTGCTCTCTCGCTTGCATTAGGGCACGGGCAATTCGGCCCGCCTGCCCTTTCTCAGTCTGGTATTGATCTTCATAACGTATCCATCGCTTTATTATATCGGTCACTTTATCGTCTACCTTACATTACCAATATATAATAAATTGTACATTACCCGTTGAAACGCTAGACTTTTCTTAACAATTAAACGAGTTTCAACGGCTATTAAAAACGCTTAATAGCCAAACAAATGCTATATCTATGTATATCTATTCTATCACCACGAATCAAAAATCCTGTGAAAGGTTTTTATACCCGTACTCAAAAAAGAGTTAAGGGGTATATTAGATTTGTGGTAAAAGTGGATGTGTGTAACGCAGAGAAGGAAAATTTTCCGACCCCATAAAGTATATATATTCTTGATCAGCATCTATAGCCGAGTCGTTATAGCCATGTCTGTCTGTCCGTCCGTCCGTCCGTCCGTCCGTCTGTCCGTCTGTCCGTCTCGATGAGCGCCTGGATCTCAGAGACTATAAGAGCTAGCGAAACCAAATTTGGTTTCCAGACTTATGTGATATCACACTGCTACAAGTGTATTTCAGAATTTCGCCCCGCCCCCTTCCGCCCCCACAAAGGACGAAAATCTATGGCAGGCACAATTTTAAAGATACGATAAAACTAAAAACGCAGTATCGTAGAGAATGCCCATATCTACCAGATTGCCAAATATGAACTAGATCGGATCATAATTATAGCCAGAATGAAGAAATTAATTTTCAGTTGCTTCCCCTCCCCCTCCCGCCCTCGACAACGCATCTCATTTTCCTTCTCGCTCGCGCATTCTGCCGCGTTCAGTGCGCGAGCAACCCCTAGCGGAGGAGATGTAGAATCTAATTGGAACATGTACAATCTACATGTTAGATGTAGAATATACATTGTATTTGTAGATGTAGATATCATATGTAGCAAAAAAATGTAAAATGTAAATTTTTTTTTTTTTCTAAAATTCTTAAAAATCATAAGCTCAAAAATGTATATACTGACTGAGTACGGGTATAAGTAGAGTCGCGTCCCCAGAAGCGACTCACACGTTCCTTCTCGTTTTTTGTTAATATATGAGATTTAGATTCTAAGTAAAAATTGTGAAAGTGCACAAAACGTTGGGAAACATACGTTACAAACGGTAAAATGTGATTTTCGGAGGGTTGTTCTAACAATTTTAGCTCATCCGTTTATTTATAGATGTTTATGAGCAATACCTTAAGCGACGCCTTAATGAACCTATACACAAAAAATACGAACAATACGATGTAAGATACTTAAGTTATGTGGAAAAGAAAAGCGCTACCCCTGAAAACAATCATTAAATAAATACCATATTTTTGTGTCATTAAAACAATGCATTAAGCATTTTTAAAGCCAAGGCTATCAAAAATAGTTTGTTCGGTACTAATCGGAAATATAGTGTGCTATACACGCACGCGTGTATCTTAGTCAAGTCAACTTCATCATATTAATGTTTATTGAAAGTGGTGTATCGAAGGTTTTAAAATAGATCAGATTTGTTTTGAAATAAGATAGTAACGATAAATTAAATACGACTTTTACGGCTGTCAACTGATGCGACGACGACTGATAAACACAGCGGCTGGCGTCTGAATGACCAATCCCAGCCTTCTTACATATATGAATTTTGTTTAATATTTTAATATTTACACTACTCGACAAAATTGAACTTTTTCTTCCCGCTGTGGACCAAAATGACTTTTTCTGATAGATTTCAGGATTTAAAAAGTTTATAGTATTGTTTTTTTTTAAGAATTTTTTTAATCTGGTATTTTTTCAAGTTAAAGGTAGTGCTTCTATTTTTCACATAATATCTGGTTGCATAGAACTTTGCAGTTTTCTGAAAAGCTGACAAATGCAGCTATAAATCCGACCGAGACACTTTGTAGCTACAGCTTAACGTCTGGAAGATATTAAGCTTTCAAATTCAAATTTCATCATTTTTTGCGGTATTTTTTCGCGAAATTTTGATTTTAAAAACTCCGGAAATGTCGAAAAAATAATTCTTGGCATGAATCGATGGATAAACGACCAAAATGCAGCCGTTGGACCAAATCGACTCAAAACTCATTATCCCTGAAAAAATACCGTCCGGTATGTTGCTGGTCCAACTGCCCTAACGGGATTGCAAGAAACAAAAAATACCTGCAATTTTTGTTTTACCGAGTCTTTTACTCCTATTGTTAGTGCTTATATTTACCTA